GACGCCTGGCATTCAAACGGCTGTCCCATCAAAGAGTTTCTCATACGATATCGAGTGACTAAATACGAGACCGAGTGGTCAGAAGTGTCGGCACAGGTCTGGCCCCAGGAGTCGAGCATTGAACTGCTGGGGCTGAGCCCCGGGCACTGGTATCAGCTCAACATTAAAGCGGTGAACGAGGCCGGAGCCGGCGAACAGACTTATCATTTCGCTACGCTTACAGCTCAGGGAGGTATGGATTGACATATTTATTACGATTTTTTAAAAAAGCTATATATTTTGAAAAGTTTAAGCGAATCCAAATGTACCATTACTCGTGATAAAATATCTTATATCCATAATCTTAATTTATAGTTATAATTCAGACTGTTTTACAGTCGTTATTATGTATTTGTATTAACTACAAAATATATAATTTTATATAGGCTGTGGTTATGATCCAAATATATATCAAATCTAACTTGTTGCTTCAATTAATATTTTAAATCAGATAAATTTACAGTACATATTGCATGTTTATATAAAAGCATTAATGTATATTTACACACCATTTTCAGGCACAGTATCGCCGCTATCGGAAAGGGAGCCCCCATTAGGGGGGTTGGAGTCGATCACAATTGTGATACCTGTGATATGTTCGGTGATTGTGCTCTCAGTTATACTCGTCATCGGACTCATAGTCATCAACAAACGCCGGCCGTTGACCAGTACGGGGCCCGGGGGTGGTGTGGGGACCCCCGTTAGCCGACACCCCAGCGAATCGCAGCAATACTGTCGCGACGACCAACTGCTCAGTTCGGCCTACCATTTGTCTGTGTTGGACAGTCAGCCCCAGGGGGTGGGCATCGGGGGTACCCCTCATAAGGACAGTCGCGAGAATCAGTGCTTTCACACGACAACTGTATTGAACGAAAAGCAGCTATACTTTCAGTCGCCGTACGCTCTGAGCCGTGTTGTCGACCATAAACTGTGCGCTTTTGATGGCATCGATAGTTCAGATGTGGACGATATGTCGTCCGTAGGGGTCGGAC